CCTTCATTTTTTTCTCTCATTCTCATAGCCTTATATTTTTTATGATCACTGTCTATGTTTGTGTTTTTAATGCTGGCTTTCGAACAAGAAAACATATTGGAGAGACATCAACAAAAAAATACACAAACCTGTCCCGTTAATAATTGTATTTACTACTAACGATATTTCTCATATTCGCGATAGTTATTCGTTTTCTAAGGAAAGCAACAAATCGATGACATTGATTCCTAGATTGAATGTATATTAGTATACTCGATGCAAAAAATGTCTGATAGAGACGATGAAAAAAATCAAACAAAAACAAATGGCTTTGGCATCCTACTGACTTAAATCGAATAATTGGCATCGGTTATACATAAAGAAAATATTATGTTTTAATTATTAAATTCGTTATTAACCCTTTACCCCCCAATGTCCACTGAAGTGGGCATTGGGGGGTAAAGGGTTGCGAAAAGTTAAGCATCTGATTGAGAAACTCTAAGAACATTTTTTGTAATAAACTTCATGGGCTACCCATCGGTAAAAAGAACGTTTTTTCTCGCTGCGTTCGTCCGGAGATATGTGACTTCTATGATCGACGATTTCGCACAACAACTATTGTTTTGTAAAAGTAGTTTTCTATTTCTAAGCAATAAATCTTCCGACGATCTACTGCTTGATACGTGTAGAACAAGGTGTCCACTAGTGATATGTTCGGTTTCCAGATTTTTTAGAAGAGTTTAGGAGGTCGACATATGGTAAAATATGCAATAGCCACTAGAAGATTTCTACAATGGTAATGTTCTGGCTCTTAAATATGCACGAATCAATACAACAATTGTTTCAATCATATAAAATTATAGAACAAACATTTTCCCATAAAATGAAACGTTCCCCAACTCTCTATGACATTTCTTCACCGAGATACATCAGTTTTGCTGAATGTTCCCGAGAATTAATCAAAATTTCTCCCCTACTCCCCCTCAGGAAAATGTCCTAAAATTGAAGAAAGCATTTCTTTGATTTGTTCATACTTTTGACATATTAAGGGCACCAATGCTTTATTTCAGGAGTAATTTCATTGTTAGCGCTTCTGGAAATGCTCTGGGGGGTAAAGGGTTAAAAGCATTATCCTATTCGTAGGGAATTGTATGTTCTTCCACGGAATAACTATCCAAAAGATTTGTATCAGCATTTGTTTGATGGTATATCTTGTTATATTTGTCACAAAATTACTATAGCACCTATATAGCTTTTATTCTATCCAGCGAATTGAATTCAATGAATAGTTGAAAAATGCTTTAAGTCTGACTGGTAATTAGCTACAATATCCATAATGTGCATGAGCAATCAGTGGCAAGTATCAGAAATATCCAAACAATATCGTTTTCAGCCCGACGACTGTTATCAGTTCACTCAATATTCAATTGGGCTTATTTTCTTCTGATTTGTCTACTACATTTCTTAATGTTCTTGATTTCAATAAACATTTCATCTATTGTGAAAATTTAATATTTCATATGAATTCTGTTTTTTTCATGAAAGATTTGAATCAAAATGAAGGCGATCTTGACAATTCTAAGATTTAACTCGATGTGTTCAATGACGCTGAATAAGGGTTTAGAATCTAAAAAAATCTGTCTGATAATTAATTTGCTTTTTATTAGATTACTAAAAATAAATATTCTTCTTAACAGTAAATTGATTATTATAAATATATAAATAACTTCTGAATTATTAAAAGTGTTTGCTAGTGGAAGTTCAGTGATATCTATATGAAACAATAGTTTAAAAGTAACACATATTTTTATTTTTTGTTTCATTAATATATTTTCTTGTGCATTAATTAAACAGAAATGACGAAAAACAACCGTGTTTTATAGCTATTTTATTCATTCAATAAGTATAACAAACGTTTCATTGACCACGCTTTCGTTTGACACGAATCGATTCAGTTGAGTGCACATTACATGCATGTACTTCTTGATCAATCGAACATAGAACGAGACAATGATTCGATTCATATTCTCCTCCAGTGAGGAGACCTCTTCATGTGCGCATATAGAAAAACTGTCATCGAATGATTATGTAAGACAACTATATGATCTTGTACCAGAGTCGTCGATTGATAATTTGCAGATATCTTATTCATGTATGGTCATGTTTATTTCGCAGCAGAATATTTCTCAATTGATTGATTGCTCTGTAGGATTCTATTCAAATTTTGAATTGGCAAACAGTCATTATTATGCATAACGAATGAGAATTGAAACATTTTATTGTGTTACTAAATTCAACAGATGATCTAATTGTCTATTAAAGTACATAGGATATATATCATCGACACTATTTATCAAAGTCTGTCAATATGTTTATGCTATTGGATACTGATAGTGTTTCATATTTTTATTACAGTAAGTGTTTCAATTTATATTGATTGTTTTATAATCTTAAATTCATTTCTCTTAAAATTAATCCTTATTAATCATAGTTTATGTAGATATGGTCGTAGAAATATGTAAGATGATTGTAATAGTTGATCAGTCATATGTTGTTGTTGTTGTTGTTGTTTTCTATTATGTTATGCAAGTAGATGAAATCCAGATAGTACGTTTAATAGTTAATAGAGTTCCTACTTGATAACGCTCAATGTTAAGACTGTCAAGAAATTTCACCATAATATTTTGAATCAATCCAGAGGTGACTGAATTTTTCCAGACTTTTCCTAAAATGTTAAAAATAGTCCGAGTAAAATTTGCTTACCATCTGAAAAATCGATAGCTATCCAAATCATTCTATAGAATCGAGTAGATCATTTAATATTATAGAAAGAAAAATCGACAAACAGTTCTGTTCATCTCATTTGTTCTCTTATAAATTTGCACGAACAACAAGCTTACTATTTCTTTTTTTTTTTTTGAAAGTTGTTCACTGAATGAGGTGAACATAATACGAAAAACCTAGATGATACTTAAGTTTTATACACTTTTCTATAAAATTAACAAAATACCGTCGATAACATAGCTTCCGCTGAGGTTCATCTTTATCTGAAGAAGACGAATGTGTAGGAATCACCTTCAAGATTTACCTCTATCGAGATTTACCACCTTCATTTTGAACATTATTGTTTTGTTTAGAGTTTGATCGTTCCAGCGAACAGCGAAGTTTGAGCAAATATTGGTAGAGTAAGTATTTTTACGTTCACGTGGAATCATATAGTTGATCAAAATATTTTAAGGAACACCAGTGATATTGCTTCAATTACCTAATCAACAAGATTTTTTTACTGCATGAAAAAGCATCCATTCAGTGAACAAACAAAAAACATTTTAATGTTACAAACATCTATTAAACATAGGCCGTGGTAGGAAGTCATAGCTACATTGTTTCAAACGATGGTACTATTAAATAAATGGTTTTCTAAAACTTTTTCTGATCGTTTTATGTAATGTATAACGAAAAAAATCGTTTTCTCAAAGTTTGAATATGTGATGATAATCTCGTTTATGAACAATTCTTATTAATGTTTGAGCGTAAAGGAATGGAACCAAATGTAAATGTATTTTTGTTGCTCACTTAATATGAATCAATATTCTTCTATGAAAGGTATTGCTTTAATTCGTAAAAGTCACTTTTTCGAGAAGTTCCATGTAATCAAAAGCAAAACATCACCAACGATCAGTCCTATTTAAACCAGTTATCGAGTTCACACAATATGATGGCCTTCAAACATCTCAAAATTGCAACATTAGAAACAGCGACTGTGTATTTTCAAGTCTGTTTGAATTTTATGCGAAAGAAATTCAAATTGAGAAAATTTTCCTGGCAACTAACAGAATGGATTCTTTTTCTCTGTTTCTAGTAATATTGGACAAGTGTTCTAGCAAAAGTTTAGAATCCTTATCTTGCCGATGAAACAAACGTCCAGAATTACCTTTGAGCGATAACAGAGTCATACTCTGATACCAGTGAGATTAGCTGTCGTATGTGTGACCTGAGTGATTCGTTTTTTTTTGATCAAAAATAATCTTTTGAATATTAAAACTTTCATGTTTTTGTCTAACAGTTTTTTCAGCACCGACATTTCTTCGTTTATCACTGTCCAGTAACGGAGTTTTCTTTTCATTTTCTAAAATTATCATTCGCACGATATTGTGGCAGCTCTTTCGAAAAAAATACCGCATTGATTTTTCTAAGATACCTTCAATATTTGACTTTTTTCTATTTCAAGTATCATAACTAGGAAAAAAGCCGATAACCAATTAGTGTTCGTAGAAATAAGAAAACGCTCAACTCAATTGAACATAGAATTTTCGAGATAAGACGGCTAGATCTGATATCATTCTCCGATTTGCGACTAGATTCTCTCGTAGAAGGCACCATTGGGCAATTTCAACTCCATACTAACTTTCGTTTCGCTCGTCAATATTTGTGTGTGTAAATATTTTAAATCTTTTTAATGAGGTGTTCTGTCGAAATTTTAAAAAGGAAATATAAATGCTACCTTTCGACTAGCTAACAGAAAAACGTATGATTTTCATAGATAAATCTAACATTGATAACATTCTATATTGAGTTAATTAAATAAAATATGAAGTATCAATTTGAACGTATTCTTCAGGCATAGTCTTCAATTAACGTAGACAATCATAGAATGTCCTATCCTAAGTGTAACGACACGAATGCTAATTCCTGGCTTTTCGAATCGCATGCTAATATCTCTAAAAGTGTGTTTTGATTAGTATAGACACTAGCATCTATTTTTATAAACTAAATAGAATCCAGTCGAATAAACTATTTCCTTGGAAAATATTCACATTTTACAATGTAACGCTTTGCAAGATTTTTATTCAATTCATGACATTTTTTTCTACATATACAATTACATTAAACAATTTTTAAAAAATTGTTACATATATTTATTTATGTTTGTTTCAAAAAATTGAAATCTTGTCAATGGACTGCGTAAAAAATATTATGTACAGTTAATACCATTTTATTTTGCATTAGTATATGAAAAATTAACTAGAAGTAGTTGGTCTCGTACAAGCAGCAAAATTCCATTTTCGTAGAAATCCAAACCGATGTGATTTTTGCCGACATTTAATTAAATGATTTTCAAGTTTCTCTCGATGTCCTTTCCATCCACACTTGTCAGTACATATAACTATTTGTTTTGGACATGAATAAGTGATATGATCGAAAAAATTGCCACGTTTAATATTAGTTTGTTGACACAATATACATTGTACATTTAAACGATTCAATTGATTCAATACAACACGAGTAATAACAGATACATATCGAGATCCTGCTTGTCGACAAAATGGACATGTTAAATGTTGCTTTTCCCATGTATAATAACATCTTTCACAAAGTGTTTGACCACAATGTAAACAGTTGACCGGTGATTGATAAGGTTCATTACAAATTATACATAAAAGTTCGACATCAATTTGATCTTCATTCACGTAAGTATAGTATAGTGTAGAATTAAATTTGTTTTTCGTGTTCATTTATTTTGACTGGTTTGTGTTGAATATTTTTTACAGGGTTTAAAAATGTGACGCTATGGTAAACAAAAAAGAAGCTGACGTTTTCTCTATCACATGAATCATAAAACGCACATCAAACTTTTTTCTTTTCCTCTGTAGCATGCTTGTTTTCGTCGATTACTTTAGTTAAACGTTGTAAATAATGTCTAGTAGGTTTTAAGAAAGAAAACAAAATGACTAACCATGGCAATGAATGGTTGTGTGAGGGGGGGGGG